TGTTTTGTGTACTATTGTTTGTCTGTTTGTCTTTTTCTTTTCTAGCCATGACGTTGTCGGTTTATTTTAGATTTATGAGTTTGAATGTCCCTCTGGTATCTTTCGCCCCTCTTTTAAAGCAGAATCTAATATAACATGTCGTTGGAAATTCGATAAGAAAATGAATTGCATCTTCAATTGAATTCAAAAAGTCTTTTTTTATTTTTGGCACTCTTTTTATAACGACCCTGCTCAATAGCATATTTTTTAGTACGAAATGCTTAAGTCCCCTTTTTGAAACTATCCTTGAATTTGAAATAAGTTCGTAATTTACCCTTTTTTTACCGTAGCATTCTGTAAAAGATCATTTTTTCTAAAATACCATTTAAATTACCTTTAAATTAAAACACCGTTAATCTCTTTAACATTGATATTTTTAATATCTACATTCAACTGCTTTGCAATAAAAACAACACAAGAAGAAGTTGGTATACCATTCTTAGTCCAGCGGCTATGTCCAATATATTAGAATAATTGATCACTTTATGGTAAAAGCATGAAACTTTGCAAAGTGAAAGTTATGCTTCTAATAAGTTTCTTGATATGGAACCAAGTAAAATAAATCCAATGTGGTCGCCAAATTAAATATGGCCGACACAAGGTACTGGGGATACAACACCATTAACTTGATGTTCTCTACCGATATGCAAGAGTTCAGTACATATTCAAGTATTGTATCAAATGAAAGCCCCGATACCTCGGTGGCCGAGTGGTCTAATTAGTCTTAGGGAACCCGCATGTGGCAGGTGCGCTCGACTCCAATCTTATTTTACTACGATTGTCAGTTTTCCTACCGAAGGTCTGTGGTTCTCTCCGGGCACTCCGGCTCCCTCCACCAATAAAAACTGACCGCCATGAAATAACACAATAGTGCTGAAAGTGGCGTTAAACAGCAATCAATCCCAGGGTATTAGTTTCCTAAATATTATTAGGTTTTCAGATTTGTTTTTTTCACAATTCTTCTCACAATTGAAATATACACACCTACCCCATAAAAAATACTGATTAAAAAAATACACAGCTGGAATATTTTTAATTAAAAAACTACATGTATAAATAAAACTGACAAAAAAAATTATAACATTTTTACAAAATAATAGTAAAAAGTTACATCACATGTACATAATCAATTGTTGAAAGTTGATTTTTCAAAAGAGATTGTATTTGTAAATATACTCTCGTCTTCTTTTGAAATATCGTACATGCGTGTGATTATATATAATGTGAAATTTGATTACGAAATATTGTAAATACGAGTACAATAATGTGAAATATGATTATCAAAAACCGCTTATTTCTTTTTTGAAGGCTGTATGGCGACCTCTTAATTTCTATATTTATTTACCTGTCATGATCAGTTTCTGTTCAATTGTCGTTTACTCCAAATCTACACTGTTTAATTAGTTTAAAACAAACACCAGAAGAAAATTAAAAACATTCTTATTCATAACAAAGTAGATAGAAAAAACTAGTTTAACCCCTCCACATATAAGTATTGAGCCGTCCTATATCTGGATCCTCGTCAGTGGTTTTTTTTTATCTAAATTATTTTTAGTCATTTAGGAGATCTGGTATCTCTGGATGATCTTTGATAATTTCTGTTACTTATGATCTGATATAACCGAAAATGTTCAGCCAAGCCCTGACAGGTAATCAATGTTATGTATGAGGAAGATACATTCCTGAATTTCAAACTAAAAAAATTATGTCACTTCAAATTTCTGGATAAAAACAGCATCCGCACTTTTTTCCAGTTCAAAAGAACTGATCTAATGGGCTGACTATTTTAATAGATATAGTGTCTATTGATAAAGGTTGAATGGTAACCAGAAGATGTCGTTTGATTTTTTACTCGAACGAATCCGCAAGTTGTGTTTTTTTTTGTGTGTAATTTATCGTATTAAAACTTCCTAGTTCATTACAGAAATGGGAAAATTACCTTCAAAACAGACATAACATTGAAACTATGCAAATTAACAATGTTTGGATAATTTTAGATACTGAAATTTGATTTTATCTTATCAGAAAATTGAAAACCAGTTTTCATTTAAATGACTAAATAGACATATACAAGTGAGTACACCATTCGTTCGATTATAAGTATACTAAAATTATTATAGTTATTTGCATTGAATCTTGCAATGTAAATTGATAATAATTATTGTTTTTTTTTGCCTCGGTATTTAATAGCTTGAAAGTATTGGTGTATTCTACATTTTGTATATATTAAGTCATACGTATTTTCTTAATTGTCAAACTATTATTGACTGAATTTTTGATTTTACTACTTTGATTATAATATTCAATATGTCACAATATAATGGTAAACAGTTGAACAAGTTTTGCCATTCCATTTTCATGTCCATTTTATAATATGATGTTATTCTAACAAATATATAGGTCTGCAGTATGAAGTCACTGTTTCAATATTAGAAACCTCTTTCATTTGATTTCAGTTACTGTAAGTAGTTTTAATTGTAAATTTCTAATAGACACTTTTATTACAGTGTATGGAAAAATGCAACACCATCCCTTAAAAATGCATTGTAAGTCTCATTCAAAATGCTACACTGTTACCCATTGTATTATCTTAGCATGCCTGCATTGAAGTGTCAGAGGAGAACGTCTTGATTGTATTTTCACAAAAAGCTTATATACATTACTATATTCGATACTGCATCTTTATTAAAGGAAATAAGGTTTGAATGTAAAATTCAACCGAAATCATGTTGATACATTTCATCAAAACTTGTTCAAATTGGTCATCATGACAAACCTATGATATTTCCACAAAAGTGGATGTCCCTATTGGTTCGGTGGTGATTTCGAATAGGTTGACAATCAAGTTACAATTGTGACAGAACAAGGTTTTATTATTCTTTAACAAAAAACTTCAATTTTTATTTTGATTTTGAATTTAAGAAGTAATAATTTTTATGGCATTGTAGATGCTGCATTGTCTTGCCACGACTCTATATATGTGTTCATAGATACATGTAGAAATGAAATACGTTAACAGCATTATCATTAATTTTACAGGGGGAAAATGTTGCCATTAGACTGGACCATTGTTTTACTAAGTGTTACTATCTATAACTATGGTGAGCATTTGATTCGAATATATATATGTTAAGTAAAATAAATGACACATGACCATTGACAAGATAATGTAGTGCTATTTCATATTAGATATAGTTTACTAGCTTATAACCTAAGAATGGTCCCAATCTCGCATCCAATTATGTTAATTTATAGTTTGACCTCTTTATTGGTCTGTCATTCATTACATTTTGCATAATTACTCAACACTCCTGTAGATAATTTAGAAATTATACATTATAATTATTTTTTAGGCACGCTTGGATTTGAATTTCAGCTCGGAACGTGGAAACAAGCAATGGAAACATGTAAAATGCAACTATCAGTCATAGAAAGTAATGTTACAATCTTAAAGCAGCACTATATATCAAGTAACAGCATGGAATTTTGGCTTCCGGAGGCAACTTTTAAGACTTCTTGGATAGAAAATCTAGGTACCATAATTTTAGCAGATATATATGCAAATTTATATGTATAATTTATGTATATATATATATATATATATATGTAACATTCTAAAATGGCATGTGCAGTCTATATCATAATATAGATATAATAATACCTTACTAGTGTATTTAGTTATCATTCAGTATTGTGTGTTACCTATAGTTGATTAAGTGCATTTTTTCATCTTTATTGCTCAACTATAATTGTAATTTTGTTTTTGTTCAACCAGTGAAATAAAAGAGGGATAGTACGCCGTATAGTACTATCAACACGATGTCAGATTTTCCTCATGTTAATATAATATCCACTTTATGTATTATTTGATTATATTGGTGTCGGCTATCTATCAAATCATATCTGTTGATTTTGCATACAGTTTTTTTTAACTCGTAGTGATAATGTGTGCAGTTCCTTTACTTTTTGTGTTATTTGCAGTGCATGTACTGATTTTGTGTCTTGGATTGATATCCCATATCATCGTTAAAACGACCTCTTGTCCATTTTGATGAACTTGTATTGTTCCGTTGCTGCAATATTGGCGTTAATCTTAAATCTTATTTATTCATATAAAAATGTTTTCAATTTCACCAAAAATATTCAATTCGTTATAAATTAAGATGAGGCGGCTGTTTATATTTACTCATGTTGAGAGATAATGTGGACATTCTTTTACATTTCGGTAATAGCTGAACATTTTTGTTTAAAATACATGTACGCAACCAAATTTTGTAATTCAATTGTCCTATTTTCAGTAACGCGTTAATAAATTCCTTTGAAACCCAATATTTGATTAGCACATGCAGCTGTATTTTGGCTTTTCCAATTACCTAGTCCTATTGTAAGATTGCAAGAATTTATGTTGTGCTGAATTGTTTACCAGATATTCTACTGGGTTCGTATTCTTATATAAAGATAAGGTCAAAATATTTTATGTATCGCATATACTTTAGTCCTATTACAATATGATGTGTTTTACAATAATACAACTTTGTTGAAGAAATTTAATGTTGATGTCATGTATCTACATTTTTATTCCAAAGATTTATTTGTATGAGCTGTAGAAGCAGGACGAAAAGCGATGCTCGCCGAGCTTTTCTCCTATTTCGTAGCGAGTACAAATAAATTTTATATTTCCGATAATGTACATAAATTATATTGTTTTTGTCCTGCAATTTAATCTGACACTTGTAGCTTTAGTTGTTTAAATCCAAATAGTTGTCTCTGATTTTTCACAGATATTGACATAGTTTAAACGCGGACCGCGAAGAGGACCTCAGAATGAGCTGTTACGCAATAAGAAATATTCACATTACCGCTTGCTCAACATGGAAGCAGAATAACAGGATACTTTATTTGTACAATATAAAAATAAGAAGATGTGGTATAATTGACAATGAGACAACTCTTCACCAGAGACCAACTAACATAGAAGTTAACAACTATAGGTCACTGTACGGCATTCAACAATGAGCAAAACCCATACCGCATAGTCAGCTATAAAAGACCCCGAAATGACAAATGTATAACTAACGGCCTAATTTATGACAAAAAATTTAAAAAAAAACCAATGAACGAAAAACAAGTTAAGCAAAATATTATTTGTGTACCTGTTATTTGTACAATAGTGGCCGATTACAGGATAAAATTTATGTATTTATCAAATAGTTCTTTTCTATATATCTGTATACTATTATTTTAGCATTTATTTAATTCTTAATCTTTACCTAAAGGTTGCCATGAGATGACTCCATATTCACAAAAACCAGTTTATTATAAAGAAACATTAGGAGACTGTCATCATCTTTGTCAAAGTAAAGAAATATCGTTTTTTTCATACAAGGTAAAAGCATTATACTTTTTCATTCTGTATTTCTATGAATAAGAACAAATGTATATTTAGTACGGAGATGAATGAAACATCCTTACAAAACTGTAACTTAATATTTCGATGTTTTCCGTAGACAATTAATATTCCGGTGTAGAAAAATAGATTGTTGATTGAAATTGATACAGTATAATTATTCGACATTTGTTATCAGTTTGAGGAAAGGAAAAACAATCTCTTCTATGATAGATGATCTGTTAATTTTGAGTGTGTGTGAGTGGATATAGGTCTATAGATATAAATATGCTGATAATTATACATAAACAGGATAACAGGAATATAAAAAATATCCGATTCCTACAAAAAAATATAAGAAAATAGATGTACAAATTAACGCAACAACGAACAACATATGGTTAAGATAGCTTGTCTTGGTACAGTCACACAATGTGTTGGGGTTAAACCAGATAAAGTCTTAAGATATCAAGTTTTTTAAATGTTATTGTTTCTTTGTAATACGGTTGCTGTCGTAAGTTTTAAAAGAAAATCCCAGGTTATACGGTTATTATCTGGTTTATTGTTCGAAATACGAAGGGTTTGGCCTCTTTTAAAACTTTTTTGATTGGAGCGTCACTGATGAACAAACAGTTATTTAAACTAACAAAACATCATATGGGTAAACAACAACAAAACCCTCTGCCAAGTTCATACTCGGATGTTGAACTGTCAAACTCATTTGCTGATTTTTTCGTCAATAAAGTTGTAACAATAAGAGATGGACTAAGAGACCAAAACGAGGTGAATTGTGACAATATCGCATTTCTACATGCTGATCTTGAATTCACTGGCACACCTTTGTTGTCATTCAAACACACAACCAATAATGAGATACGAACTACCATTCAAAAGGCACCGAGCAAGTCCTGCGAGCTTGATCCCGTTCCGTCGAACCTATTGAAACAGTGTTCCGATGCTGTAGTGCTACTAATTTCAGATATCGTCAATGCATCCTTTGATGAGAAAATCGTGCCGTTAAACTTCAAACAGGCTCTTGTGAGACCTCCTTTTAAAAAATACGGACTTAATTCAGAATTTTTTAAAAACTACAGACCAGTGTCTAATTTACTTTTTATTTCAAAACTTCTCGAAAAGGTAGTTGATAAGAGACTAGATGTTCATTTGGACTCTTAGACTAACTCATTGTGTGATCCACTTCAGTCCGCATACAGACCACGTCATTCAACTGAAACTGCATTAGCTAGAGTACATCACGATAATGCGGCTTAAGATAAACAGTCGTCAGCGGTATTGGTGCTCTTGGACCCTTCCGCTGCATTCGATGTCATAGATCACAGATTTCTTCTGGAACGTCTGTCATTTGCGTATGGCATAACTGGTTGCGCTCTTGAGTGGATTAAATCGTATTTAACGGATAGACATCAGCGTGTAGCGATTGGAACAACTACATCTAAGAAATGTCATCTTACATTCGGTGTTCCACAAGGTTCCATGCTCGGCCCGAAATTATACTGTCGAAGCTATTTCTCGAAGCCAATTGGTGAAATATGCCATCGTCATGGTATGACATATCACTGCTATGCGGACGATACACAAGTATCCTCAAGCCGCTAGACAATTGGGAGAATTACTTTTCAAAACTCGAACTGTGTCGTTCCGATATTAGTTCACGGATGTCAAAAAATATGTTAAAACTTAATCAAAATAAAACCGAACTTATTTATCATAATTTTTATTCACACCGAAACATCTGAAGCAAGTGTACCAAATTTCAACTCAAAGTCGGCAATACTGTGATAAGTAGCATATCATGCGTGAAAAACCTAGGAGTATATTTTGATAAACATCTTACGATGGAACGATAAGTATCTGCCATAGTAAAATCTTGTCATTTTCGCATCTGTTTCAGTAATATTGGACGCACTCGCAGCTTTACAACAACAGCCGCATGCAAGACACTAGTAAACTGTCTAGTGAACTGTCTAGTAACATCCAGACTTTAGATAAGACATATTTTAGTCTTAGATGCATGGTTTTTATTATTTGTTGTTATTGGCTTTGAACTAGCTGTCAGTAACTGCGAGTACTCTCAGATCTGTATTAAGTGTTTTTTTGTTGTGGGGATGTATAAGTACCCTGCCACGTCCACTCTGTGTTTTTGTTAGATGTATTTCTGCTTTGTATAGATCTGACGAGTTAAGCCCTTTTCAACTGATTTTTATAGTTTGTTCTTATGTTGTACTGTTACACCACTGTCCCAGGTTAGGGTGAGGGTTGGCGCGCCTTCAAACTAGTTTAACCCCTCCCACATTATGTATGTGCCTGTCCCAAGTCAGAAGCCTGTAATTCAGTGGTTGTCGTTTGTTGATGCATATCATATTTGTGCTTCGTTCATTATTTTGTACATAAATCTCGTTAGTTTTCTCGTTTGAATTGTTTTATATTTTTCATTTCGGGGCCTTTTATAGCTGACTATGCGGTATGGGTTTTATTCATTGTTGAAGGCCGTACGGTGACCTATAGTTGTTAATTTCTGTGTCATTTGGTCTCTTGTGGAGAGTTGTCTCATTGGCAATCATACCACATCTTTTTATTTTATATTGATAACGGGAATATTCTGCTGTACGGTATCAACAAGACTACAATGAACAGACTACAAAAAGTACAAAGTACAGCAGCCCGTCTTATCACCAGGACAAGGAAACATGAACATATTACGCCGATACTTGCCTATTTGCATTGGTTACCCGTCCAATACAGACCACAATACAAAATACTTATTTATGTGTACTGTGCTTTGAATGGCATCGGCCCTGCTTACAATCGGGAACTAGTCAACATATACGTGCCACATCGATCTCTCCGTTCAAGCTCTACACAGCTACTTACCGTTCCAAAAGTGCGGACGGAGACGTACGGTGAAAGACAATTTGATTGGGCATTTTTTTGAACGGGTTTTTACTTGTTTTGTATCTACTTTTAATGCAATATTTTGTATTCCTGTTTAGGGTTTCTGCCTGTTTGGCATGATTTTTAGACAAGATTGTTAAATTTTTATTATTTAATTTTAATATGTATTTCCGTATTGACCTTATTTCTATGGTAAGCATTTTTGTTGTATTTTTATTTCAGTATTTGTATCTGATATATTGTATGTTTTGTGTTTTTCTCTTTGATTTGTTTTAATTACCCTGCTGCATGTACAGCGCCTTAGAGTAATTTTTATTTTTTATATAGGGCGCTTTACCAATTTTGATCATTTTTTATTATTTTTTATGAGTCTTTTGTAGACAAAACGCTCGTCTGGCATACACACAATTATAAGCCTGGTATCTTTGATGAGTCATTACAAGACTGTAAAACTATTCAACATTACCATCTAAGTTGGTTTAATTAAAATGATATACAAACCTGTATTTTTTTTTATATATTTAATTGATGAAAGGTATAATTTAGTTCAGATTTAAAAATAACCTTAAGTTATAGTGTTGGAAAACATGAAAACACCGGGTATTTTTTAAACAAAGTAAGTTGAGTTATGAAAAAAAAACCAAGACGTTGTTCATGAAATCAACATATTAACATTGACTTCTTGCAAGAAAATTAGTTACCACCGAATTAGGTTTTCATGTATGTTGACACTTTAGTAAAATGAACAGGTAAGTTTTAAGTAAGAGCATTTCAACAAATTATTTAACAAACATTATTTTTTAAATATTTCCTTTGTGTTTAGAAAACAGAATGTAAATGTCTACCAGGATTTACAAACCCGCCATACAGAAAAGGTCCAGATATATGCGGCAGTGTTGTATTTCAAACTTTAAGTAAGTCGTAAATGTGTACCTTTTGAAAAGTACAGCTTGGTTGTTCACAAAAGGAAAATGAATAACATAGAGCTACTCTATAATAATTGATTCTTCGTGTCGCATTACTCTGCTCGATGGGAAATAAACTGCCAATTTGCCCTCAGATAAGTTAGACATGATGTACGAACATCCTATCAAGGAGTTAAGTTGAAAAAAGAGGGGACTAAATCAAGTACAAGTGTAACAGACGGATAGTTTATTTATGCATATAATGATTTATATACTAGTACTTTAAAAAAATATATCAAAATAAGGAGATGCGGTATGATTGCCAATGAGACAACTATCCACCGAAGTTCAAATGAAGTCGATGTAAATAATTATAGGCTATCGTACGGCCTTCAAAAATGAGAAAAACCCATACCGTATAGTCGACATGAAAAATATGAAACAATTCAATTGAGAAAACTAACGGCCTAGTTAATTACAAAAAAATTTACGAAAAACAAATATGACTTTTAAGTCTGGTATACTTACCAATGTCTCCGGCCTCTTGTCAACGCACCCCGTTTTCCTTGTAGCGTAAGTTTCACTGTGAAAAACTTTTCTTGTAGCGTAAGTTTCACTGTGAAACATTTTTTTCTTGTAGCGTAAGTTTCACTGAGAAACACTTTTCTAAGACTTGTAGCGCAAGTTTCACTGTGAAACACTTTCCTTGTAGCGTAAGTTTCACTGTGAAACACTTTTCTTGTAGGGTAAGTTTAACCCCACTTTCCTTTATGAAGGAAAAAACCCAATGGATTGTATGGTCTGTTTTCGATCTCAACATTTTGAACTTTTAGATGTTATAAATAAAACAAGATGTAGGGTTTACGCCTATAAGATAGCAACCCAAAATAACACATAACGTAATAAAGACATCTAGATGTAAACACAGCATATTCAACAATATATAAGTGTCCAAACGAAACATCAAGATATAAGTATATGAAAGATTCATAAACACCAAACTGTTCACTTAAAAAAAACCAAATTTTTTTAACCCGAGAAATTTCATTTGCATAATAAAATTATAAAAAAAATCTATATGAAAATAAGAAGATTTCATAGTTTGTTTGCACAGAATATATCGTACAAATGTATGCAGATATTGCAATCCCCCCTTTTAAGTGTTGTGTCGTCGGGTAATACAAGTTTTGCTATAAAAATTTGACAAACAACAGTAAAGGAATGAATCTGCAATAAAAACGGGACCAATGAGTACGAATCCGAATATCAATTTCTTGGTGGTATATAGATTCAGTTTAATCCAGATAAGGCTTTACAAGACTTCTCCAGCTCGACAACACTTCCCAAGAGTGTTTTTTTGCACGCAATAAACAGTTACTATACCACAATGTCATGTATGCTCAGTATAAATATACTTTATTAGGAGCACCATTTTGAGATATGGCGTAAAGAAGGAAGTCCAGAAAAATATCGACAAAGATTAATGTAAGCGTTTGCCCACCGTTTGCCTACCCACTTCCACATCCAGGTCGTTACAAGTCATACTAACAGAACGTTAACCATCCTCAAACCACCAATAAACATAATACAATAAAACATACGAAGTCAACACTCGACTAAATCGCTCATCATAAAAAATATTGTAAAAAAATTATCTTGTATACAAAAAAGAAATAGTCAAACCGGATACGGCAACACATCTAAGGATATCAGTAAGACCAAACTTTTAATTTCGAACCGTGAAAGTGAACAGAAAAAATTGGAGAGATGCCTCATGTGTTGCGCAACGTTAAGAGGTCCAGATGGAAGTTCCGATTAAAAACAGACTCAAACAAAGGAAAGTTGCACTATTATTGTACCTATTTATGACGGAAAGTGAGTCTAGTAGGAAAGTGGCGAAATAACGTGGCGATGCACAGTGAAAGTGTACTGAAAAATAGGAGAAATGCCTTATGTGTTGTAATACCGAGTTTAACCATAGAAATTTAAACCATTGGTAAAGTAACTTATCTACTTTGCATGCTTTTCACTGTTTTACATTCTACGCATGGTTTTCAATTTTACTCTACCAGCGCGTCCCAAGATAGAGAAAGATGAAGACATTTTTTTATCATGCAGAATACTATTGTTACTCCGATATCTTTTTAGATTGGCACAAATAATTTTTTTTTGTTCATTTGACATGTAGCATATATAACCTTGAAAAATGAGGGTAGACGAAACATTGCAGCAAATGAACGATAACTTGGCGCAAACGTAGAACGCCCGTCTTATAAATCTTTATTTTAAGTATCCCAAACTTCGAACCTAAATGGAAGAATAACCCCAGTTGAAAACTTAACTTTGGTACTGCTGTAAAGTACAAGTTTTCGCAATGAGATTTTAGATTTATATAATTTTGCCTAAATACTTATAAGTCCAAATGTATAGACGCAACATGTGTAAAACATGAAAATTAAAGAAAACTGTATTTCCAACGGTATTACTATTAAATGGTAAGAACGCAATATAAATTTTTAATGTACTACATGTATGACATTTAAACGATATTTTTTTTTATAACGCTGTTCTTTGTATACACTCTGTATGAATGTGTTTTGTGCAGTGTTGTTTAAATAGTATTGTAACAGTAGGATAGTTGTACATTATATAATACTTTTTCAATGTAATAATGATTTGTTTTAAATAATAAAGATTAATGTTATCGATTTTGTTTTAGCATTGGTAAACATATTTGATGAAAATAAAGGGAACTGCGTGAAAACAATGTGTTCTAATAATGGATCACACTATAAAAGAGGTCCGCTTATTTCAGTTTCTTGCGATGGAAACTACGATATTAACAATGTGTGTGGTAAGTAGAACTTGAAATATATGCATCATATTATTTAACGTCGCCTGTGTGAACTACAATTCGTATTCTCTCAAACGAGTCACGTCTTAAAATCTGATCGTCCATCGTCATAGCCATGCTGGAGGACTTTTGTGTTAGAACACACAAAAAAGGAAGCCTGGATAATGTGAATATGCACATCCATAACATAACAATACAGATATGTAAACATCATATGATGGATTTATTATGGACTGTTGGCAATGGTGAAATTGAATTCATTACGTTTGTCTCGGAGCATATTTTGAAGTCGTCCATCTATATACAATAAGATGTGGAATTATTGCAAATGAGACAACAATCCAAGATAGTCCAAATAATGTTGATTTAAGAAATTAACAATTTTCAACAATAAGCAAACACCAAAACATATAGTCAGCCATAAAAGCCCGACATTTTAAAATGTGAAAATATTGAAACAAACAAAAAACACAAAAAACAACGGTCTGATTCAAGAAAAAAAACCAACAATAAACAAACGAAAAACAGAAAAAAACTGACATCAACCAACGACAACCACGAAATTACATGTCAGCCCCTGACTTGGGACAGGCACATACAGATTGTGACGGGGGTAAAATATGTTTGTGAGCGCTTCACCCTTTCCCAACCTGTGACAATGGTAAAACTGTAAAATTAGTTGGACATGTTTTTATTCGGCACGAAGTACAAAAAAAACGCAACCAACTTAAAGACAGAAGACACAACGTACGGATCTAATAGTAATCACAGTTAATAAAAGCTAATGCAAAGCCAATGCCAACTGATATATAAATCATACTCTTTAAGTATCAATTAGTACACATCCAACGACTTCAGTGTACAAACGTCATAAACAGTGTGAGAACAGAATGCCAAAATATAAGTTCATAATATTTACAGTATGTATTACCATAAGTTTTCATAAATGTAAAGCAATACATGATATTTAGTTATGTTTGAAATTATCAAAAACAACACCAATGTCAGTACCGATAAAACAAATTCAAAGATCTAACTACGGTGTTAAAATGATACCCTGTATTAATTAGTTCATTCAGAGGATCGATAAGTTGACATGTACCATTTTTGAATTACGTGCTTTATAAACATCACTACCGTAAAATTAAGGATTTGATATCCCGTACTAAATCTGTAGGTACAGCCAAACTTCAAAAACAAATCGTTGTACCTATGAAGGTTTTTAGTAAAAGTTTGAAGTGATTTATGTTAAAACAAAAAATCGTCTCTTTGGTCGCAACCCCTGATTTTTTTGTATATTTTTAATTATTAAGAAACTAAGGTTCCAACTGCCTCAGACAAAGTTGACATTTGATGGATTTGGTTATTATATTAAGGGTCCCTTTGGTCATATAGCTGTTTATAAATGTAGAAATTATTAAGCAACTTGGGTTCCAACTCCCACAGGTAAAGTGGACCTTAGATGGATTTGGCTATTATATTTAGGTCCCTTTTGGTCATATAGCTGTTTATAAATGTAGAAATTATTAAGCAACTAGGGTTCCAACTCCCACAGGTAAAGTGGACCTTAGATGGATTTGGCTATTATATTTAGGTCCCTTTTGGTCATATAGCTGTTTATAAATGTAGAAATTATTAAGAAACTAGGGTTCCAACTCCCACAGGTAAAGTGGACCTTAGATGGATTCGGCTATTATTTTTAGGTCCCTTTTGGTCATATAGCTCTGTTCTTGTTCTGGTACTTATTTATCCCTGACTTTCAAATATTTGGCTTTAAACGTTCCAGATGAAGGTAAATAAAAAAAAAGAACGCTTCGGACGCAGTCAATTTACGAAGTGTTATTTTAATTTTTTAGTAAATGCAAATTATTTTGGAAACAAAATATCACAAAAGAATGCCTCAAAGAATTGTATTGGGAATATGAGTTATTTACCTGGCGTCAGTGACAGTGCATGCAGTGCAATAGGTCGAGCAACTGACAGAGGGTGGAAAACAGCACCAATGTGGTCATCAATTTTTAGGAGAGAATATTCCAAACAATTCTATAAAAAAGGTACTTTTATACCAATTTTGAAAGTAAGTAATGAATAAGCTACAGAATTTCGATACATTTAGTGATCCGGAAATGACATACAGGGTTAGAACCAAAAATTCCGGAAAATGATCAGAACAAAAGTTACAGCAAGGAAAAATACGTTTTTAAGATGTGACAGGGTGAGATAAGATCTTTTGAAAAGTTATACAAGAAAAGTTATTAAACATAACATAAACATTCGAATTTTTGTATGTCCCACCTACGATAGTAGTAGGGGCATTATGTTTTCGGGTCTGCGCGTCCGTTCGTTTGTCCGGCCGTTCGTCCGTCCGTCCGTCTGTCCCGCTTCAGGTTAAAGTTTTTGGTCAAGGTAGTTTTTGATGAAGTTGAACTTCCAATCAACTTGAAACCTAGTACACATGTTTCCGATGATATGATCTTTCTAATTTTAATGCCAAATTAGAGTTTGGCCCCAATTTCACGGTCTGAACATAGAAAATGATAGTGCGAGTGGGGCATCCGTGTACTATGGACACATTCTTGTTTTTATTTGTATTAAAAGAGGATGACGACTTTGAAAATGTTTAAAACTGGAATTTAGGGGATGAAAAAGACAAATTGTGTCTAATGATTTGGCAGGGTTCAATATCGACAAAAGGCTATGCGGATTATGCGCCAATAAGACAGCAACAAACAACTGAAACAAATTAAAGCTTTTTTTATAATCTCAACTCTCTTTTTGATCTTAATTTGTGGAATAAAAAAGTGCACATAAAAGAAAATTAAACAAAAAAAGCGCCAATAATAGATAGCATATCATATGTACAAGTAAAACAATAACGAAAATACCAAATAATTACAGATATTAAAAGTAAGCTCAAAATACTAAACCTGCTGATATATTAATATGAAATCATGCCGTCCTTCGCTGTAGTATCGGTGTTTGTACTTCGGAGAAGATTTCATACAGTAACGTTGGACATTAGCAGAAAAGGAAGACACTATATAGGGCAATTCTTAAAACTTAATTATGGTTAAGAATGTATAATGATAATGTTTATGTGAGACCGAAAGTTGTGGGCAACTTGTTAAGATCTTGACAGACTGAATAGGATGTGAAATGCAACTGAACGTTATAATAAGACATTACGTAAAAGAAAAAAATCAAGTTGCATTTTTTTCCCAACATTTTTTTATAAATATAAAGTGGTGTAAAACATGTTTCCGTTTGAAATTATGGTATTTATTTTTGGGAAAGTATTGAAATGTGATATTTTCCCAAACACATACCAAAATCAAACTGAAAAATCTCGAAAGCATGGCATGTAGGTATATTTTTTTTCATTGCATCGTCTTTTATGCACGCAAATTTATATTAGATAAGATTTACAATGTTACGACGTCAAAATTACATCATAATATGTTCACATATTACAAGGTAAAGTAAGTTATTGATTATTGCAATGGTAAGCTGTTTGATGTGTCTTTTTAAAAAAATTTCTGAATCACTTTTACCTAAGTCATGTTTTGGAAAATTAAAGATTATGTATTGTAACTTTTTAAAATATCCATAAATTTTGGGCCAAACATGAGCCTTATTGTCCCTACTCCGTTTTTATAAGATTAAGCTTATTAGATTTAACTATGTAATGTCGAAAAACCAACTTCATTATGAATAGATTTGACCTTTCCTTATCAGATCACCAGCTACGTACAAGTCCTGTTTCCTGTAAATATAGAAAGTTTAACCATGACTCGCGTGAAAGTGGAGAAATTTACAGAGATTGTAATGAAATTTTGACATTTGCATGTGAACATTCAGGTATGTAATAAATATATTAAATTTTTGTTTAATGTAACGTGATGTATATAATTATATAGTATGTATTCTTCACATTCAAATCTTCTTTGTGATTCCCTGTAAAAATAGAATACAAGATCTGAATGGGATGGATAAAAATAAACAAACAGGTTTCGCTGCATCCTGTGCGCATTTCTAGATAAACGATTGTGCATAGTTTGGAGCTCGATTTTAATGCAGTGAGAGATAAGTCGTTTGAATGTATCTTTACTTTTTAACACGTTATTAAATACGTATATAGCTTTTTGTTATATTTCGCATGAACAATAGCCTCATCCCAAAAGATATTTTATTTACATCAGCAATTGTGTAACTAGCATCTTTTGCTATAACTCATGTTTTGGTTAAGGCTGTTGTTTATCATATTTGTTGGATGAGGATAATATGAGGCAGGTGTTACATGTGCATGAAGACAAAGTCCGTATGAATAATTATTTAAATACTGAGTTTTGCAAAATTAAACTACAGTAAAATGTACTAAGGACATCGATTATTGTAACATTTTACAAATAATGACATTAAAAATACAAAACAAATCACTTTCAACACAATCCGTATTATTTAGAAACCCTGCATCATTGTCTTCATGACTTATGGTTGTACAATAAATAACTCTTACCCAAATTGCCGAGAGAAAAATGACTTCCCAGCGTCTGTTGAAGTAACTGAAATACACAGAAGTATCCGATGCTGGTTCTGTTTTTAAACGCTTGAAGGTTTTTTCATTTATATAATTTATATCTTAAACGACGAAGATACAAAATCTTCGTATATCCGATTCCTTATCAGATATCAAATTATGCGTGATTGATCAGGTGAGTTTCTCCAGAGAACTCATTTTGTTTGCTAGAAAATCATGTGTTGAATAAGCAGTAGACTCATTGTAAAATGATACGGAATTTATTTTCATTGTTTAACTGCCAATATTCTTTTTGAAATCAGATACAACGCTGGAGAACGTGATTTTTCTTAGTGTTCTGCTACTCTTATTAACTCGTGGAGTCGTGTAAATGTACCTATATGTTTTAAAAATTATGTCCTGTGACAGAATTAGGAAGATCGTTTCGCTTTATGGATTTTGTTTAAAGTCATATGAAACTTCAAATTAAAAAAAAAAAGTTATATACTTGAATGGGTAAGTTCTACTCTAAATCAAGTGTACGATCTTGTAAAAGAAAATCCTTTATAGTATCAAAATCTTTATAAACGTACTGCCATGGAATTATTGTTTTCCCGTACACTAATTCTTTGACATTTTCCCGTACGCAAGTGCGAGGGAACAACCGTGATGAAAGAATGAAAACAAACGTGCAATGGAATGTAAATGGTAATAATTAGATTTTGATGTATCATGTCTTCTGATTGGCTGAAAGTTTTTGGTCTATCATCTCATAGACATAATTTTGTCATGTTACCGTGACGTCATAAAAGTGTTTTCATGACTTACTCCTTAAAAATGAAATTTAGAACTAAATTATAAGGAATGACTGAGTGTAATATTTTTTCTGTTTATTCAAAATAACCCCAAAAAATAAGGTGCACACTTTTAAGTAACTCGCGTAGCGGGTTATTCAGTGTGCACCACATTTTTGATGTTATTTCTTCATAGACAGAAAAATATTACAGTCATTCCTTAAATAACTGACTCTAAAAAAACAACATTAATACAAAAAATAATTTAACAACATTTAAGGAAAAGTTTGATTAACAAATGGGAACGCATGGACAATATAAAAAAAATCATATGGCTCTTTCAATTCACTTATTTGTCACATGCTCCACATGCTCTGTGTCAATTGATTGTTTAACAATATGACGATCCGGTAAACTTCGGCAACAAACTCAAAAGTTTATTAGCTTGCGATCAACATTCAATGAATGAAATATTATTTGTCGATAATACGTTATAGATTCATAATAAATATATAAAAGAAAAAACGTGCACACATGACTTAGTTATACATAACATTAAAATTACAAGAAACTCGTTTCATATGACTTTAAGGGTCGTTTTTTATGTGTAACGTCACAGTACCCAAATTGCAACGAGTACCCAAATTGCACCTATTCAGCAAAAATAGCAGCGGAAATCTTACAAGTTTTCTTTGAGACTAAGCAATTCGTATTTTTATGATTTGACATTATTCACGTTTTTCAACATAGGTAAATATATTTAAATATACACAAAACGTTCACAGTACATATTAACAGATGAAGTATTCACTGGCAAAAGTAAAATCTGCGGAAACGTCGCCATGCGACGTCCACAAAAAGTCATCTTTTAAAAATGAGCAAATAAAATATGTTACAAGCATCAATTTCTCAAAAAATGAATACTAAGCATGGACCAATGTCAAATTGTTCTAAATATTTGAAGAAATAGAACAAAACATCTGTTTTATTCGATTTATAAGGATGTGAATTTAAGCATGGATGCAATTTGGGTACTCCTCATTACAGAATCATGGATCGTTTGGAGGTCGGTTCAAACCCATTTTTCTTTGATTCAATATGGATTCAAAATTAAATTGGTGTGACTATATAGAAAAAAAGGACACATCTGCAAAATAAACACAGAATGGAAACTTTTGTCTGGATAATAAATAAACGTAGGTGAAAAAACTGCCAAAATAGGTGCAATTTGGGTACCGTCACGTTACGTATATAGCAGTATTGACATATATATGTTTTCCGACGATTTTACCCTTCTTGTTTTTCAAACTCCTGAAGTTACGTTTCTGTTATTTATTTTTTAATTCAAAATATCCTCAATTTGAGCATTTTGTGGTTCAGTCTTGAACTAAATACATAGTTTCCATACTATAAATCTCTGTCTTTTGTAATTTACAAAATTTTCATTTTTTTTCTACAACCTTCTAATATTAGCTGCAATATTCATAATGATGTACATGACCTGAAGGCATGACTGCCACAGTTAAAAAGCCGCAGCATTTCTTTTTCTCTATAGGCAAATGTAAAATATTTAAAGTTAAATGATACATTTTGATTGTAAATTTCAGTTTTTGAATTATGTGATTATACAAAAACTATGCTTGATATTACCTCAGAAAAGTATAATGTTAGTTGTTATGGGGATTTCTCTTTCGGGATAAAGGCTTCTTAATATGTAACTTGTACCATATGTTTATTGTAAGCGTATAATTACATTCATTCCGGTGTGTAGAAATTTCTATTCAAGAATAGCATACTGGATACGTTTATATAATACCATGCTTTCATCATTTATAAATAAAACCTTGTTTTGACTACAATTACGTTTCTTCTTTAAATTAAAGAGAGCATAAAGCTACTTAAGTTAAGATTTGTTCCGAACGGACGGATTTTTCTACATGTCCTACGATAAATTAGTACTACGATTGGATATCTTAACTTAAGTGGTTTTATGCATATCAGACCTGGATTAAAAGGATACGTCACTTTTGTATATATTTTCCTTTACAAATGAATTCTCTAAAACCCTTATGATAATATGATATGCATTATGTTAATTAAAGGCAGGTCCCCTATGACGAAAGACGTATTGACGAATTCTAAAAGTAAAGTCTCTGAAGCTACAGGTAGGTACCTATAGTTAATTTGATTTAAACAATGAAATAACATGTGCGTGATTTACAAAAAAACAATCAATAATTTCTTTCTTCGAAATTTGACCAGTGAAATCATTTCATTCATTTCGGTGTATAGAAACTTCTTAGTGTAAATCAGTAATTTTTTCGGCGGGATTTGACAACTGAATCATTTCATTCATTCCCGTGTGTATAAATGCCTTAGTTTAACCCTTTCTCATACTTGTGTGTTTCTTTTATTGCTTTTTATATTAACAAGAAATTGAAAACAACTAATTGTTACACCACTGTCCTAGGTAAGGGGAGGGTTAAGCGCTCACAGACATGTTTAATTCCGCCACATTCTTTATGTGCCTATCCCAAGTCAGGAGTCTGTAGTACAGTTGTTGTCGCTTGTTCATGTCTGTCATATTTGTTTTTCGTAAATTGTTTTGTTATAAATTAGGCTGTTGGTTTTCTCGTTAGAATTGTTTCAGATTTTTTCATGTCGGGGGCTTTTATCGACAACTTTAAGGGATGTGATTTTCTCAATGTTGAATGCCGTACGTTGGCCTATATTTATTTACTACCACTTCATTTTTACTCTAGTGAATAATTGTCTCATTGGCAATTATGCCACATCTTATTTTTATATTAATATCTGTTTTTCGAAATATGTATGATAATGTTGAGTTTATTGTTCCAGGTCAGTTTATAAATTTCTTAAGTAAGCAGTTATTACTATAAAATAAATCATTTGACCTCTTTTTACACACACTTAGATAAAAACGCAACATATACGGTTAAGTTGCAATAAAACTAGACATATATGTATTTGATCCAGCCCGTTGGTCAACATTATACACTTGTTTGATGTATTTAAATCAGTATTCGAAGTAGCTATTCAAATTATAAGTCTGCAGCAAATGCAATATTAGACCAAATGAATATATTCAAAGAAAAAAGAAGACCATTCAGATGTTATATCTCCAACATATATGAATATACTAAGGTCATACTGAAAGTTATTCTGTATGAAATTGTACAGCTCTACTTTAAGATAATATTTTTGAAGAATAAATGTAAAGAAAAAAATTATTTTCTAAATTTCTTTCAATCATTATTGTCAACTCTAAAACAATAGGACTTTTGTCAACATCTTTAAAATATTTGAAATAGAATTTAGCATCGTAGAAAACCAATATCAAATCAGAATGTACTTAATTTAACATTTTAGATAGGCTTCTATTCTATTATCACACTAAGATTCGATGGTAGGTACTTAGGAAAATTTTAAAACACATTGGTTCAGTGTGTTTTAAAATTTGTCAATAATAGGGAATAGCAAAATGTACTAGTGATATTCCTTTTTATTTTTGATTCTGTAGTGGTATTGTCAACGTATATTTGTTCCACCAAACAGAAGTTCCAATGGAAACTTGGTTATAACAATGCATTAATATCTGATGTAACAAATATATAACCTTTATTCCGTTAGAAACACATACAGTAATATTTGTTCCAGTGGATATAATATTTCATTATATTTCCCATTTAGAACTTATATTATGATGAACTTATATTTCATGACAGCATAATAGTACAATGTGTGTTTAATGTTTAAGGGATATAGTAAACAGTTGTACGTATTGTATGAGATAACATGCTTACATCCAGTCACTTTTAATTTATTATATAGCTGTTAGAACTAATATGTTGTTTCATTAAACCTTTTTAAAAGATGACATGCTATATGTTTTGCGATTTTTGCAGGCTTAGCTGTGGGGATTGCATTAGGAATTTTCATTATCACCATTTTTGTAGCTGTTTTCGTCATTTTGAAAAGAAAATGGTAAAATAGTTTTAGCAAATATTTAAAATTGAATTTCCGTAATTATATATAGCTGTCAATCAATTGTCTTTACTACAAATGTCTCCTTTTTACCGGATATTGCATGTAAAAATTACAAATAACAGATTATCATGTACCTAATACCGATGCAGGACGCGACGTCCATACTGCCACGTCGTCCATAGACCTTGGCCATAGGACAACATCGTCCATACTTTGTGAAGGCTCGTCGTCCATGTTTTTTTCGGAAATGAATTTCATTGATAACGTATTGTGATGTATAAAGGTAGATGGTTATTATAACTTGTAAATGTATTATGCTGTATTTACATTATTTGTCATGTTTTTATATGTTATACACTTGGAATACGCAATATATAATTATCATATATAAATGTGCTTTATCGAATAAAATATTTATATCTTATATATTTATATTTATATTTATATAACAAGTGTTGATGATCAAGCAAAGATAACTCTTACGAGAATAGAATATGGTACCCGGCACTGCACAGATGTAATATGCTGTTTAGTTTCTACTCTCTGTTAAAAAGTTGTCAATCAATTTTCAAAGTCATAGATAAATTATCAATAGCATTAACTTGAAACCAGTCTTCTATTAGGCGACTTATCTTGTTGAACAGCAGATGTACAGAAGTAAAAATAGATATATAGTTGACATCTATACTGACTTTTTCAAACCGGCAAACTTGTACATAATAAATACTACAAAATCATATTTATGTTATAACTATGAACTTGATGTATTATTATATTTTATGTTATAACCCCGGTAGAATAAATACTTAAAGTATGGACGATACGTCTTTACAAGGTATGGACGATACGTCCTAAGGACGATATGGCGGTATGGCCGACACATCCTATGGATGACGTCGAAGTATGGCCGTTGCGTTTCGAAAGCCCTAATACATAGTCCATATATATAAATTAAAATGAATATAGTTTTGTTATCGGATTTGAAGAATACGATATCGCGTTCGATATTACAAAAAAATATCAAAGTATACTAAATGATATCGCTTTCAGTGCTTTCATGTGTTCACTATATGATTTGAAAATCTTAATATTCTTGAAAGTAAAGTACAAATTACGTCTTTGAAATAATTTAAAAAGTATGATATTTTGTTATAATTTATATTATATAAGCAATAGAGTTTTCGTTTGCCATGCAAAAAGAATAAATAAGAACTATTAACATGACATATTTTTCTTTTCAGGAAGTGTAATCCAGTAATAATCAGCTCACATACAGCAGATTGTAATACAAGCAATATTCAATTTACTTCTGAACCGGAAATATCACACGTCCGTGGTATAATTACCAGTGATGAATATGCTGTGGTCAACAAAAGTGCAAAAGTACATATAGATACAAGTAACAGGAATATAGATGGGTTGTATACAACACCATACACAGAGTATGACAGACTTGCACATGGAAGAAATACATATAGCAAGCAATTACAAAATACATATGATACTGTCAATGGTGAACATGTGATATCAATGTATCATACAGCTTCTAGTAAACTCAGAATATCAGATAATCTTGAACATTATGATCATATACCTACGGACTGTTAACATATACGTACGGAATGTTAAAAGTGAACTGAATCTCAATGATATTTCATGAACACTGAACATTATATTTTCTTACCAAAAAATTTTAAAACAAATAAGAATTATTATTCTGTCTTTATTATTGTAAATGTATTTCAAACATATGCATGCCTCGATAAATGTTGTAATTCACTTTTTCATTTAATTTGTTATAATGGGTTTAAATCATAAAAAAATAGTTCATACATGACGCAGTTCAAAAGAAGGGATCTTGTGAGTAAATTCATTACACAAGATATCTATCTACACGCTCTTGACAAAACGCAAAGCAAACGAACAGTGGTTTATTAATCACCTCAAGGTCACATTGATGTTAAAGCAGGAAAAAAATAATTCATGAATAAAATACTTTTATACTTACATTGATTATAACATACTCACTCATTCTCATCCAATGGTAAATCAGTATTTTCCCTTTTATTTTTCATAGTACATGGCTTTCCATGCACTATAAAATGCTATACATGAATGACTTTTCATTGTAGATTAATTATGAAAGTGAACTCTTAAAATCTGCAATAACGAAGTATATATACAATCCCCCGTTGCAATTTCCATAGGAAAAGAGAAAACAAGAAAAATCATGAGTACTGTTGTTTGTCTAATTATTATAAATGAAAACAGGAGACTCAGAATAGAACTATAAAAGCATTTTAAGTTGAGATTTCAACATTGTAAACGCTATACAATGGTACATATATAGAACAAACAAAAAAGAATTGAAAAGAGGGCAAAGGTGTGGTAAAAAATATTTAATCTAATTTTTATACGAGACCTTAAAATCAATGTTTTATTTAAAAGAAACAATGACTGTTGATAAAAAAATCAAAGGAGGTTTTGAATAAAACAATACATTCATCAATGAAAAAAAGTAAGAATCAGATGATGAAACGATTGTAATTTTAAAAATTATTGATGAAGTTTTGTCGTTATCAAAACTTATGCAATTTAAGAAAAGCTGATTTATATAACATTGTGTGCTTTTAAAAATGAAGGAATTTTAGATATAGAAGTATTAAATTGTACCCGACGCAAAAGAAATCTCCATTTTTGAATAATTTATCCTTTTTGTTATGACAAAACTATCTCATTGCTATTTCATTTCATCTGTTGAAATGACCTTTAAGTATAATTCATATCCCTTTTACTATCCATGATAACACTTAAAGTGAGCTTATATTAAGGTTTGATTATTACAGGGACAGGCTAATTTTATATGTCACCAAAAGGTGTGAATATGTTCTAAATTGGTCAGATTACTTGGTCATGTTTTATGAACATTTAAAACCCTCGACTATGCCTTGGGCTTTAAATATTCATAAATCATAACCAAGTATTATCTAGCCTATACTTAACCAATTAAAAGTATAAGATAAATTTACTTATCGTACAATTTGGACATTGTAGAAAGGATTTTAAACTTAAGGATTTAGCCGTACAGAAAATAAGATGTTCATTGGTAGATTTGTTTCTGATGAAAGTGTCCATGTAAACATTTATATACCGTAGCATGATTAAATTCCTTTGTTCAAGAAATAATTTATACAATCGCGTGGGCTTAAAGTTATATTGATGTTATCAAGAGATGGTCATGTATGCCAAATAATTTACCACAAAAAGTAAAATAACAAAAATACCAAGGAAAATTCAAAACGGCAAGTAATAGCGATAACCCATTATCAATATTTATGTGAAACTTATGTTTTAATTTCTATCTAAATCATGACAAATTCGGAACAATAAGTTTCCTAACCAAACCATGTGAATTTTCGGTATCATGCTTTACTGTCATTAATTTTCTTAAACCACATGTTTAATGCTGAAAGTATGACGCAGAATATTGAATCATGAGTCTTATTTCCTTTTTAATGCCTTATGGAATCCATTTTCAAAAGAAGATTTTATGTTTTCTTAATTTGTACGAAGTAAAGCAGCTTTTAAATATGAACATGCTATCATTGTAACCGTTGACATAAACATCGATATTTCAAACCAATTATATCATCAGTGTCATTCTATACCTTCTGTTGGTATGATCTTGCAAGCTAATGCACATGTCTAGTATAAACACTTACACGTAAACATGAGATATCATTTTCATATTTGATTAAGAATTATTTGATTGATATGTATTGGCATTTGACTGTGGGAATATGTTCTTAAACGATTAACCAGTGTTTGATAAGATATCTTACTATGTAGTTTTACTTAACATCCTTGACCTCGCCTATAGTTTAACCTAATTTTACAAAAGAATATCAGTATACGGTATTTTTCGTTTGATTTCTTTTGGACATGGTGTGATCTGTTTTTTTAAAACTTATAACTTGGTTACTCATTTGCTGTCTTACACCGTTTTTTTTCTATTTTTTGTTAAAGTTTTTCAAGGGATCGACTCCACGACTTCGGAATGCTACCACAAGACCAAAGAGGCAGTTAAAAGCATTTTGGTTACGCAAATCATATATACCAGATATTTCAACACCTTATATGTTTAAACATAATATTTGCTGAATATATAGATATCTTGAAATAATGAAGAATAGAATGTATAAAGGAAACAACAAACTTAAAAGAAAGCAATTAAAATTGAATTAAAATACTAAAATATATAAAGACAGAACAACCCGTTTTTATTATCTATACTATTAAATGAGAAGACTTCTTCCTTCCACAATAAATAAATCACCATACCTATGTGTCCTGTAGGTACCATGCATAGTCGCATTCGTCATCCTCGCTTATGATTATTCAGTTTGGGTTATTTAGGACTGTTTTAAAATTACACATAATTTGCATAAGTTCTTGAGGACAGGACAATTATTTTCGCGTTTTTCTGTATACTATGATTACACATATTATATAAATAAAGTGTATTTGCTATTTACTATCAATTCCAATTTACTATCCACGGCGGTCACTGATATATTATATAGAGAGTCTATATATAATATATCAGTGACCGCCGTGGATAGTAAACTTGGAATTGATAGTAAATAGCAAATACACTTTATTTATAGTATGTGTGTGTATGTTCATAGTATACAGAAAAACGCGAAAATAATTGAAATTAACAGAAAATAAAATAACGGACTTTGGAAAAAAGGGGGAAGGCTAAAAAAATACCATAGTGTCCCCAAGTACCTATGACTTTTGATACCTTTCCTGAAATTCTCCAGTCATAAAATCTTTTACAAAAATCATCCTACAACAGTTTACATACTTTCAACCACGTTCTAAATGCCCGCGATTTTGCGTGTGTTCTAGTGTATTTTTTTTATATGTAGGGTCGACACATATGGGTTATAATACTTGTTTAAGAGAAACTATTATTTTATGAAACTTATAATTTGTTTTTACGGTATACTTTTTGAGGTCGTAAATTCAAATATACTGACATGCTTCTTAATTGCAACAACAAAATGACTTCATGGAATTTAAGAAAACACACACCTATCAACCAGTGTCGTTTGCAAACCTGTTCTATATATAATGCCATTATTTTTGATATACTGTCATGTGTAAACAAATTATTCGATGCCTGTTTAAACGGATTTAGAAAGATATTAATCTGAATACAGGGAGATGTATGCCATTAATCGTCAATAAACTCAAGCAAGCAGCACACTGACACACATTACCTTCATCAAGACTTTAACTTTATTCTAAAATTTTGTAAGAAATACATTTAATATAGCTTGAAATATTGTCAAGTTCCTCATAAGCAATTGTCCGATGAATATTTCAATTAAGAAATATAGGCCAACACCTGAAAAGTGAAAATTCCATTTAGTGTACAATAACATGAGGGATCATTTTTGAAAACTAAAGGGATTTCACGAACATTTATCCAGACACGGTATACAAATTGCATGATAAACGTGGGAGAAAAACTAGCGTTATCCCTTTTCTTTTTTAGATTTGGATTTCTTTCTCATTGGTATTAACTTTAAATCGCCTATTTTACATATTCTATGTCATGTAAAAAAATGTTTACTTTATCTGTGATTAATTCGGAATGATTTTTATTGTCATAATCGTTTCAAAACACTTACTATAATATAACAATTTTAACAAAATTTGATTGCATTGATTAATAAATAGTACAATAGAATTATTGTCGTACTAAAATAAACCTATAACATGAACAATTATCATCTCAAACATATATAATACCAAATTATTTATGCTTTATCCGAGACATTTTGTACACTCACAAACACAAATGCTTGGAATGAATTGTGCTGGGTTAGCTATTCTTAGTGGAATATACTTATTATGGCAAGTCTATTGTAGCCCCTGTTCACTAAATTACACGTTCTTAAAAATCCCCGAAAGAATCGTGTTCATTATTGACCCAGGTCACTATCACCAAAACGTCTACGTCATAGTAATATGTTTTTTAGAATCATCACCAGGGGCTGTTGATAATGCTTTTTTGGCATAACCTACTTTTCATTTGATATAATTTAGTTTGTTGATGCACATATTTAATATGGCTTCAACTAACGAAAGTTCAATAAATTAGAACTATATAATTGTGTTTAGAGATCTCTTTATGTCAGTTTTCGCTCTATTACTTAGCTGCCTTTGTTTTATAACCGACAAATATTCATTACATCGTAAGACATACAATGACACAAACTGTTTGATAAATGATGATAATGATTCACAAAGTCGCATAATAATCATATTCATGTATATTTGTGAATGATAAATAGATAAATCGGTCGAATGTAAGAACAATGTAAATATTTTGACTTATTGTATTGGTTGCAATGAACTACTGTGATTTCTCAGTGAAATAAAAACTGGCAATTTTACAAATATTTGAACAGAATGGATATGTGTTTTGTAAAGAGAGTAAAATAAAAGGTATCATATCGTGTTAATTATGGCATAATCTCTGTATTTTAGAGACGTGTAACCATTTAAGTATATACCAACATTTATTAATGATTACAAAAACGCATAACAGTTGTGTATTTCTATGACCTCAGATATATATCTTTATTTCTCAACAAACCAAATTACATTGGTATAGAGATACACACAATAAATATTACATAATGTATATGTACAGACATACACATGTTATGCGAAAGCAAGACAGAGGCAAATATCTTACAGTA